CCGGGGCAGCTGCTGAGCTCAAGCCCCTTGAGTCTGATCATCAAGGAATGCCAGCAGGTTCAATCCTTATCCCCCAAACGTTTGGCTACCCAGCCTGCCACAAATCCTGCACAACTTTTTCGCAAGATTCAGGTACTTGTGCCCGTGGGACTTGATGGTCACAGCTTCATCCACACTCCTAGAATTGCAAAAGGTTGCAGATGCTGATTCGATCATCCTCCCGTGACATGAAATCGTGGTTGCCACACGCATGATAGCTGGGGGTCGAGCAAGTATCGTCCAGCCCGTTCCATGGCCAAGACCATGTCGTTGCCAGGCCCAGACTTGTGGCACTGAAGTCGTGGACTATAGTCTCATGAGCCAGGCTTCATGCACCCAGCCATAGTCATGTACTCCTCGGAAGGCTGTTGCCCAGCAAGAGCCACAGCGCATTCTGCCAGCCAAGCTGTGATCACACGCCCGTTAAAGGCTTTGTGTGTCATCCAGGGCTCTCCTGAGGAAAGACCTTGCAGCAGCGCGCTATGATCTGCCAAGAGGCTATTGCCGGAAGTGTGATCGAGGGACATGACACGCTGATGTCTAATCAAGCCAAGCCAAGCGGCCAACGAAACTGTGAATGCTGGCTGAGAACAAGAAACTTTGTTCCGTGTTTTCCATGTCTTAAAATGTTGAAAAGCTGCTCGGAGGGATTCTGGAAATGATAGCGAGGCGTCTAGAAGCCGGCTTCGATCAAGGTGATCCTTAGATTCCAAGGAGCGACCAAACATGCCTTGCCCAGTTACATGTTTGTCTCAAAGCCGGGATTTTGCTTGATTGTTTCTGAGTTGATCGAATCACTACCCAAACTAACGTGGAATGGGTGGAGTTTGTAACCCTTTTCACCCATTCTCCCAATTCCTCCCCGACATGATTGTTACCCACGCTGATGAATGTGGCTTGGAGCCCAAACCGAACGAGGGGACCAAACTTATTTCGAGGGGATGCACATGTACATGTATCCTAGCATTTTTTTAAAGTTTTTCCTCTATATATATAATATGGGTCTTACACTACAGTACCATGCAGCTTTGCAACATTATCAATAAATCGGGAACAGGAATGAGGAATTGGACAGTCGATCAGTTTAACCCAAAGATTTCAACCAGGATCTAGATCCAGCGAATGGGGCCTTATCAGTGGCAAACAGAGGGACACCTTGCATACAATGCAATCTTGGGGAATCGTTCTTGATACTAAGACACCTGATTCATACAATTCAAAGCCCAGGCCCCTTGTTGATGTTGAATCTGATCACTTCTGAGGCCCGCTTTTTGGAATCATTGGCTTGCACTGCGCAATGGTACGATTTTTCTTTGAGCGCAATGTGCACCATGGAACGTTCCAAAGAACAAATGCCTCAGTTCTGCTTCCTGCCTGCACTTGGAATTGGAGGGCACGGTCTCTTTGCTGGGCAATGCAAATTGAATTCAGTGCAAAAAATGCCACGATCAATCCCCTCTGACTACTGCCAGTGCAAACTTGAGGCAGCCAGAAGGATGCTGGGCGCTCCTGATCGCCCTCGCACAAGGCCCGCAAGTTTGGCGGGAGACTGCCCCCAAGGTAGCCAGCTGATGGCCGGTCTCCATTGTAGAGATGGCTTAAGCACCAGCGCAGGTAGTCATAGGTGGGCCAAATCGTGTTTCTCCCTGTGCTCCTGCTTTCACGGATCACACAGACCAGGAACCTTGAATTTCGGGTCGGCGGGTGAAATACAGGAAAAGATACACTGATGCGTACGATCTTCTTGCAGAGACCGCTGCAATGGGTGTATTTGGCCTCGTCCCCATACAGGGATACTGGCACGTGAGAACAACCATCCTCCACTGCCGGGTGCCCGGCACCCCACTCAAAGAATTGGCGGGCATGCTCCCAAAAGTAAGTGGCTGCCGAACAAAGACTACACAAGCGAGGTCTCCCAGCACCCAGAGTTTGCAGCTCTCCGGTTCCTCTTCAGCTCGCGCGAGTCATGGCACAGGGTCCTTTTCCTGCTGAAGTTCGCCGCCTTCCAGCTGCGTTCCATGAAAAGTTGCAGATTCATATGCAAGCCATGATCTTCGAAGAGGTATTGGACTGGGGACAGGACGTTCACAACTTGCAGGTGTTGCTTCTTCATCCCCATCCCCATTTCACGGAGGTCAACCTCTGTCTCTACACTGACCAAATCCTGGAAGTGCACATGACATCACTCTTGCAAACTAATACAAGTTACCATCAACTCAAACGCACGCTGTTGCACATGTGGGAATGTGACTCAGGTGCACGCCAGGACCGAGATTGGCATTTTGCAGGCTGGCTTCCTGCAGGCGTGGAAAGAGGATGGTGTGGGGCTGGTTGGAGGCATGGATCATGGACACATGATGTCAGATCAACTCAAATGAAGTAAGCTCGTTACGCTGTGATGCGCCAGGCCTGTTGGGCTGCACTGGCATTTCTCGTGATGTTCTCTACGCTGACCTTGAATTCGAATTAGCACTGGAACGCCACGCTGTGTAAGTGTGCCGCTAGGCCACCTCCAAGTAGTCAAAGAAAGGAGCATGATCAGTACCTGGAAGCGTGTGTGATCATGACTAAGTCCTTGTTTTTTTGGAGGGCAAGTGCGCCTTCAATCTGGATCGAACAAGCGCGGCAAGCTCAACAGCCATCGCTTTTTTCTCGAGGATTCATGCCGTCGATCAATCGAGATGCTGAAAAGCTGCTACAAATCTATTCATTCCAAATAGGAAACATTCATGCCCTTTTGTTATCGCAGAGTGCTCTGGCAAGGGCCTGCAAACTTGCAGTGATTCACTGCTTCAAAGCCCCGGCACCCCTCTCCTCCTAGTTGGTCTCCTTTTGGTTGGGCGCCTCAGCGCACAGGGGATTCCTTTTAAACAGGCCCCCCCCCCCACAAAAAAAGAGGTGACGAAACCTTGAAATTTAAAAAAATACATATATATATATATATTATTGGACACCCTAAGAACTTGAGAGAGCAAGTTATATATATATATATATATTTCATTCTGTAATATTCTTATAGGAGGGTAGTTGGGTGTCCCCCCTCTGATTAGTCAAGCGAATTGTGTTTTTTAGGCGGGGTGGTGAAAGCCTGAAGGACGAACAAACCGGAGGGCCATTTTTTGGAACCTTAGTCAGGTGGATGGCTTGGGGGGGCCGGGGGAGGGGTTGGGGGGCAGGGGTTGGCGTGATGTTGCTGGCAGTGGCGTTGCAGCTGCTGGCAGGCCACTGGAGCACCTTGCCAGCGACATGGATGGGTGAACCTGTGGGTTGCGAAAATTGAGAGAAGCGGGTTGATCATGAGGGCACAAAACATCTAATGCAATTGGATCCGGATAGCGGGTGCTCGACTGTAACATCTACGTTGCCAAACAGAATTGAATTCAAAACAGTTCAGCCAGAGTCAGGCTGCCCGTGGCTCTGCATGATGCTAAAACAACATGGAACATGGCTCCCCATCGGGCAACACGGCGGGCACGCAGGTTGGCCTGCTGGTGGTGCCTCCGCGCATTTGCTGGAGCCTTGACCATGTTCGTCAAGCGTTAGTGCTTTGTATTTTAATTTCAAATTCTTCCTGTATCCCTTGAAACTGGGCTTAGGCGTTGGTGGTGGACATGGGCTTGGATCGCTCCCAAGAAACACCCTCGCCATCAGGCTTCAGATCTAAATGCTGATCCTGAGGCAGCCTTTGTGGCAGCCATGGAGGAGACCGGCCAAGAAGGAGCTGGAGGCCATCGGCATGGAGGGGGTGCTGGCAGCATCAGCCTTGCAGGCGGCAAAGCGGGCAGCCAGCACCCACAGCCTCATGTCCAGAAAAATGAACTCTCTCCGTACATTAATGATAAGATAATGAGTTGGGTGCGCAGCCTTGTTCTCGCCATCAGTGCCCACCGCCTCGCATGGTTCAATGTTATTTATCAAATCCCGGTTTCCACCAATCGTGCGAATATGCCAAATGTCGCACCGGCAGCGCATGCTCCGTTTTGTCGGTGGCAGGACTTTGGGCCGGGGGCAGGGGCCAACGACAATGTAGGCCCTCCCTAGATCGACTATTTTTACATGAAGTACCAGTACTGTGTGAACATCCCCGGTGCATGTCTAGTTTCAAGGCCAGGGCGTTGGCAGCACCTCCGGCCTGAGCGCACAGTTGGATGACCCACATATTTGCGCAAAGAATGTTTTTGGTTGGCGATATAGTGAACACCACCGGAGGTCGATTTGCTTGTTTTGTTAGGAAAGCCGAATCAGGGAGAGGACCCCACTGTCAGCGAATTGTTGGGGCTGGATTTCGTGGCAGGCGCAGTACTTTGAGCGACCACATGCTCCTGTGAGAGCCACGTCTGCTGGTGAGACCGAAACCACGTGCTGACATGAGGCCCCAGCCCCTGCGATCCCACCCCCGCCCTGACCCCCTGAACTCGCACCTTGACACCCCGGCACCCCCGCAACCAACCAGAACCAACCCTAAACTAACCCTTTACCAACCTTAAATACACCCTAAACCAAACCCTAAACCTAAACCAACTCTAAACCAATCCCAAACCAACAAAAACCAGCCCTAAACTAACCCCAAACTAGCCAAACACGCTAAATACACCCCAAACCAATTCTAAACCAACCCTAAACCACCACAACGCAAACACAGGACCACAGCCACGGGGGGGGGGGACTTGTCTGACCCATGACCATTGGGGGGGGAGGTGGGGGGGGTGGCAACGCTGTACCATACAGATATATCACATACAGAGGTATAGCAGCACCAGGAGTTGAGCGAAAGCCACACGCACAGACATGTACATGCACAATAGCGGTTTCGCTGGGAGATGGGTTGCAGTATGCACCAAAGCACATGATCATGTTGAGCGTCCCAAGGAGAACCCAGTCACACAAATGGAGCCAAACAGCAGACCCGTTGAAAAACGAAATGGGTCCCCCACTCGGAGTTGCCATTCAATATCATTCAGGTGGCCAACAGCACGGACCAGTGCAAAGCGCTTTGTGTGGACTACCCCGGCTGTAAAGGCGGGCAGTCGGCACACGCAGATGAGCCAATTGAGGGGTGAAGATGACCCCTTCAAACCTCCAGCGCCTTTGTTTCGCGCCCCTTGGGAAGTCAGCTACCGGAAGTTGGGACATGGATGGCGGTTGGGCCACTTACAGTCTCAAAGGACTTTGGTTTGTAACCTTACCCGCGGTGAATCTTGTTTTCACAGGAACTATTGCTTTTGTCACTAGGCCCCCCAGTAGTGCCCTTTTACCGATTCTTTTTTGGGGAGGGTTCCCCTGCTAAAACAGACAAAAAAGGAAAAAATGGTACCCTTATTCTAGCCTCTCTACTGGAGGACCTAGGTTTGTAATCGCCACCTTGAGTTGCAAGCAAGCGAGGCAGCACACTCAGGCTTTGCTCATCCTGCACGGGACCTTTCATGTTGTTTCTATCAGCAAGTGTAATGAAGAATCGATTTGCATGTAAGACAAGAGGAATATATATATATATGCACTATATGTAGGTATGTCCGTGATGTATAGATATCGGTAAGCTTGGGTTAAACCGATTGCTTAAGTTTTCTTTTGTAGCTCTGTGTGTGTGCTCCTGTTTGTTTGTAACTTCCTCGTTTTTTGGGACCAGTCATGGGTGGGGATGCTACTCGTGCCACCAAGCTCTGTCCTGCTGATTTGTGTGAGTCCTTCCTTTAGAAAATCCCCGCGGGACTTGGGTGCGGACCTTTGTGGTTAGCCTTCGTTTGCCTCCGTTTGCTCTTCCGGGGATGTGCGTAGTTTTGCCTGCAAGCTCCTTTTCCTCTCTTTCTCGCAAAGGCTCCCAGAAGTGATGCAGTGACGGAAGGGTGCTACTCGTGCAATTAAGATCTGTTCTGCTGATGCTTCTTGTTGTCTCTTTTGTTCGCATTCTTTCCTCTGGAAAGGCCCCCGCAGGACTTGAGTAGAGGCCTTTGCGGTAGCATGTGTTTGTTCATGTTGAGGGCTGCTAGCACGGGTACAAGCAGTTTTGGTTTACAACTTCCTGTGCTTCTGGAAAGGTCCCTAGAAGTGACGGAGGAGGGTTCTCTACTACTGCAAGTAACTTCTTTCTTGGTGATGCGTCTTCTTCGATTCCTTTGGCAAGGCTTCCGCAGGACTTGAATAGGGTCGCTTGCTACCAAGTCTAGACGAGCTTGAAGAGTTGCAAACCTGCTTTCAATCTGCACTACTCTTGCCCCAAAACCACCCGACACACAACCCAGACCATGCTTGTTTCGAAGCAGGGCAATTGAACCCACCTTTGGTTTGCCTCCGTTTGTTCACGTTCCTTCCCCAAGCCGCGGACGCCTGTATTTCTGCGGCCTGCAACTTCCGCACACAAGCAAGGGCCTTTCGGTTCCATCCTGTTTGCTCATGTTTTCTAGGCACGTTATTCTGGTGATGCTGAACTGTGATGCTGAGGATGCAAGAAAAAGGATTCGAATTGAAAGCCCCATGATTTTTTTACACAGTTGTGTCTCACATCCCCTTCGCATCAAAGGACTCAGCCTATGTAGTAGGGCGCGCGATTGGGTAGCAAGTGGGGGCAACAACTGCATGTCTTGTGCCCAACGCGCCGTTCCTAGATGTACTATATATGCATATATATATATATTATGATAGAAAGGGCAGAGGTCATGAATCGGCAACCCAGTCCTACAAACACAATATGTTTCCGGTACCAAGTCTCGTGGAGCCCAACTCGACAAGGGCATCGGTGATAAAATCACCAGGTCCTGGGCCGACGTGAAACCAGATGCTGATAAAAGGGCCGCCATTTTCCTCACAACTTATATGCCTAGCTTTTTTGGCCCTACTAAAATAGACTACAGAAAAAAAGTTTGTACCCTTATTCTAACCTCTCTACTGGAGGACCTAGATGCGGTGCTTGATGTGGGGCCATGGCTGGATCGCCCACCTCGAGTCGACCTTCTGATGCGGATAGACTTGAAATCCGAAATCCGCCGTGAGTTCTACCTCACCAGGTCCCACATTCATGGTTGTTGTTGGGAATCCAATTTTTGCTTATTGTGGTTTAGTGGTTGAAATCCAACCACTTGACAGCTAAAATTTTAGAATTTACCTCTGTTTCTAACCACTCACTTGAATCACTCTTGAGCTGGGTCAGGCATGTCTGACGTCCAATTTCCATGTCTCGAAACGCTGAAGCTCAGGACGCCTAGTTCCATTTTGAAATGGGAAGCAAGATGAAGCTCGGCATGGGTCGTTTTCTGGTTGTACGTGCCCTTTTCACTTGACACAGACCGTGAGAGCCGAGACGAAGTGAAGGGCTCAATGGCGCGGACTGAAGACATCAGACCGGCTATTTGGAGGGCTTGTGCTGCAAACTGCCACTTATTTTTTTGGCCAATCCAACACATTCGGAAGCAAATCCGAGATGCCAGGTATCGAATTTGCGCTCTCGGGCCGGTGCGAGATCTGGCTGCGAGAGGGCTGCTTGACAGGAGCAAAAGCTCTGGTCTGTTTGTTGTGTGTGACACACGGGACTCGTTCTTAGCAAAAGGGGGTGCCCCATTGAGATTCCTCTAAACAAAGCGTGTGTGATGGATTCTTTGTTAATCTGCAGTTGGGAACAGCGCGACGTTCTTTCCCATGTTCTTTCCTGGTTCTTTTGAGGCTGTGTGTGGAAAACAACAAACAACTAAACGCATGCAAGTTCACAGCATGAACAATGGACAAAATCCAAACCCATCAAATCCAAATTCGGATTTCCTTTCCGTTCCGAGGTGGCATTGAGGCGAGCAATGTAGGGGCGGCCTTTGAATGCTGGCGCTACGTCAACGACGAGGCGGAGCTGAACGTGACCACGACCTTGGCGCCCAACGAGCTGATGCCTTTTGGCTCCAGCTGCAAAGAAACCGCAGACGCTGGCTCGCTGGGATTCGCGGGATTATTCCGCTGTTGCCCAGTGGATTGCTTCCCTTTTTCAACCTTTTGTTGGGTCAGGGTTCCCCTTGAATCTCAACGAACAAAAACCAGGGTGCCCAGTGTTGCCAACTTTGATCATTCTTTTGTGGGGTCAGGGTTCCCCTTGAATCTCAACAAACAAACACCAGGGTGCCCAGTGTTGCCAACTTTGTTCAACTTTTTGTTGGGTCAGGGTTCCGCTTGAATCTCAACAAACAAACACCAGGGTGCCCAGTGTTGCCAACTTTGTTCAACTTTTTGTTGGGTAAGGGTTCCCCTTGAATCTCAACGAGCAAAAGCCACGGTGCCCAGTGTTGCCAACTTTGATCATTCTTTTGTGGGGTCAGGGTTCCCCTTGAATCTCAACAATCAAACACCAGGGTGCCCAGTGTTGCCAACTTTGTTCAACTTTTTGTTGGGTAAGGGTTCCCCTTGAATCTCAACGAGCAAAAGCCACGGTGCCCAGTGTTGCCAACTTTGATCATTCTTTTGTGGGGTCAGGGTTCCCCTTGAATCTCAACAATCAAACACCAGGGTGCCCAGTGTTGCCAACTTTGTTCAACTTTTTGTTGGGTAAGGGTTCCCCTTGAATCTCAACGAGCAAAAGCCACGGTGCCCAGTGTTGCCAACTTTGATCATGTTTTTGTGGGGTCAGGGTTCCCCTTGAATCTCAACAATGCCCAGTGTCGCCAACTTTGTGCAACTTTTTGTTGGGTAAGGGTTCCCCTTGAATCTCAACGAACACAAACCAGGGTGCCCAGTGTCGCCAACTTTGATCAACTTTTTGTTGGGTAAGGGTTCCCCTTGAATCTCAACGAACAAACACCAGGGTGCCCAGTGTTGCCAACTTTGTTCAACTTTTTGTTGGGTCAGGGTTCCCCTTGAATCTCAACGAACAAAAACCAGGGTGCCCAGTGTTGCCAACTTTGTTCAACTTTTTGTTGGGCAAGGGTTCCCCTTTGAACTTAACGAACAAAAACCAGGGTGCCGATTCTTTTTCTTTTTCCCATGGCCACTGGGCATCTGAGATTCAGAATTCCTTACAGTGGATGGACAGGAACATTTTGGCCAAAGAGAGGGTTTCCCTTTGGTGACGTGATGTTGTGAGAGCACGAGGTTGTCATTTGTTGTTTGAAAGTTCACGAAACATCAATCTGAATCCGAACATTCTTGCCTCGGGTGTAGCCGGGTTTGGGCGATTGAACCCCAAAGATATCCCCCAACATGTTAGGAGTCCCAGATGTGAAATCACTACTACTTGGATAGTGTTCCAACAAATTGTCCTGGGCTGTTCCTCGCAGGATCATATAGACCAACTTGTCAAACATGCTTAAACCGCTGTTGTTTGAACAACCTCCTTTGCGTTTCTTTAGGAAATAGGGTTTGGTTGTTTGATTAATCGTTGTTCCCAACCCTCCTGCGCATACACTTGGCTTGGGACTAGAATTCGCCTCGTTGCGAGCAGTTTCATAGGGCGTTCATTTTGGAGACACGGCCATGTTCAATCCGGACTTTATAAAGGGAGTTGGCGACAAAAACATTTGTGATCGATCATGGTGAAGGTTCCTTTTACAGGGGGTTCGCCTTATTTTGAATGGTGATTGTTTGTAACTCACCCAGATACTCTCTTTTTGCTAGTGACACAAATGGCACGAACAAGGGTAACATTGTGATGTGCCATAGGGATGGGATGTCAATCAGACCTTTTTCTTGGTTGCCCAAGACCTCAAATGAGGTATTGGGATCCCAAGGTCGCAATTGAATATCCCTCCCCTCAAATGTTTTGGGTGTCCAATTGGTTTTGCCCAAAACCATCCAAAGTTTCAAAGGTTTGCAATATGAGTTGGGGAATACCCCTTCCACCCAAATGGAATCTATGGACAATTTCACTCTTAAAGGCGGGCTCCCCGGCACCTGAGACGAGCTCAGTGCAACCTCCCAATCCGATCAGCAGTCCGCCTGTCCTTCAAGGTACTTTGAAGGATTCGACGGCGTCACACAGGATCGGGTCTGCCGCGGAGCCAACAGCAACGACGCCTGGCAAGCCATCGCTTCAGGTGCCAGGTAGCTAAGCATGTCATTTTACTCATCGCCCCAAGCGACTGGAAGAGATCTGACCTTTTGATTTCCAACTGTTCGCATTTTTCCATCACGCTTGGGTCAATTGTTTCAGGGATGCTTCATTCGAAAAGCCTGCAACACGCAGCGGGACAATGCTGTTTGTATTTTCTAGTTGTTGTTGATGCAATGGTTGCAACAAATGTAATTTAACCGCGATGGCAACCAGGAATTTCAACTTTCTGCTTCTGGGCCTTGCACATGTTCAGCGAGTTATCACCGCTGAAAAGGTTGAGAGAGTGCATTGTTTGGCAGATTGCGCAAGTAGCTGTGTGCAAGCGACATGCTATCAAAACCTGAAAGCTAACATGTACAATCTATGCCATGTTATATATATATATATATCATTATATAACTATAGATATACTGATATACATATCGATGAATCCGGGATACGCACGCGCAACACACTTATATATATATATATATATATATGCAGTGGTTTGGAAGCGAGTGCTCGCTCCCCCTTTTGGTTTGGGCTCTTCTCAGGAATGGGAGGAACTGACCCCGGGAAACGATGCTCCTGCGAGCGCCTGTGCACCTGGCTGTACCTTGCAGAGGAGCGTGCTATCTCAGAACTGAGCTGCAAGTACTTGTTGCCGTGCCCCTGACATATACATTTAAAAAGTTACACACGCGCACACACGCACACACTCGATGTCACATCCACGATGCAAATGACTTAGGACAACAGCGCGAGCTATTACTCGCTGTACTGGGCATCGACACTGGAGGGCTGCAAGTCTCTGTGCGTGGACGTGACAGGATGCAAAGGCCGAACACCCGAGTGACCGGATCTGGCGGCGCTTGTGTTGGCTACTCTGTGGCCAGGAAAGTTCCGGGGGATTCCCCGGGTCCAAAAGCGTCCAACTCAGTAAAAAAAGAAAAACAAAAACAACTCTGAGTGAGGTTCGGCAAGCCTTCGGGGGTTGAACCCGTATCTTGGTCTATCTAATATTCAAGAACAGAAAAAGGAGATGTACGGCAAGTTTGCCGGTCAAAGCCTTTCGACCAGACAAACAACAGCCCTTCTGGGGCTTCAGGTACTAAACGCGTTACTTCAGGTTTCGATCGCTTGCACCGAAGGGCAGTCCTGTAGCATCCAAAAGGAGCCCATTCACCCATTGAGGGTTGCTCACGTGCCCTTGGAAGGTTCCGTTTGTCAGCCTTAGATCCACGGTGAAAGCGGTTTGCCGGGGAAGGTGTCGGGAGCCCCTGAAAACTTGGGGATTCCCATAAGCTTCCCCATGTTTCACCTTTCGGGCCCAAGGTTTCAAGATGTAGTGAGCCCCGTCTCCTCCCCCTATTAATGAATGACCCCCATTAATTATACATGCAAATCCGGGGCCCGAGGCCAGATTTCCACTCCGCACAATTGATTTTCCATTGCGCCAATACTAAACCGATACTAAAGTCGTGGAATCCTTATTAGGGGGCACTTTTAGCAAGCTTCCAGCCTCACTTTTCAAAAGGTGGGTTCCTCAATTCCCCAAGAGGTTGCTTCCCCAAAAGCTGGCTTCCCCAAAAGGTTCGGTTCTTTTGGTGACTTCAATGCAAAGACTCTCCAGTAAACTGAAAACAAATAGAATGATACATCAAATTTCCTTATTAAACCGCTTACTCGCGGACCTTGCAATTCAGTCCATTTCCTCCAAATCCTATGTGAACCCTCACGTTGTTGGAAAAGCAAAGAAAACCCAATTCCGACAACCCCAATTAAAAAAAATAAAAACAACATGGGAGGATTTATTTATAATAGGGGGGGGGACCCGTATTTATTAATAGGGGGAACGGATTACCCCAATCCCCCCTCTTCTTTGGAATTCGGGTAGCATTTGTTACCGGGTTTGATTTGTTTTGACCCCGGGAAAAGAAGCCTGTCCGATTTGTTGGGTGCTTCCTCCAAATGATCCAAATCCCTCAAATGGTTTGCCCCCTCCCATCAGAATCTGCCAAGACATATTGCTTTACTGGCTTCCAACTACAAGAAACAAGCTGCTAGACCTCTTTCAGGTTACCTTTTTTTGAGGTTCGTTTTCAGGAAACCGACTCTTTCAGCAGGGCTCCTTAAAAGATACATTTTGGCCAGTCGAAACATGGCTTTTTCCACCAAAATAAATGGAAACCACCATTTACAAGGCAATGTTCAGGTGTATAATGTAAGGAACCCTGTTCAGGAGGCCGTTTCTTTTCCGGACCCCGAGAGCCACCGGTTGAAGGGCTCCTCGCTTTTGGGCGAAACCGTCCGGCCGTCCGGCCGCGGCAGGCGTGGAGTACGCCGCATCCATCGGGCGCTGCGAGGTGTGGACGAGGCCGGAGGGCATCCAGGCCGTTCGGGAGCTGCCCCTCGGTTGCGAAAGAGTTCTCTTTGCTTCATGCGTCTCCGGTTCTTGGATCATGTGTCTCTCAGTTTTTCAAGCAAAAGGCCATGGCTTGCTTTTCACGGTTCTTGGATGAATCATGTTGTTTTGTGTGTTGCTTTTTGTGTCACGTGTTTAGTTGTTTGGCGTTGTTCATGTTTTTGCATGGCTGCACAAAACAAGGTTGTTTGCTCCATACCGAGATGTGTAGAGATTTGTTGCGAGACTTGCAGCAAGATGATCGCAGCAGCGCCAGCAGAAAGGATACAGAGTCTCACCCTCTAAGCTCTCACCCCAGAAGTAGCGCTATGTTCAACCGAGTTTTCGGTTGACCCATGGTTGTGAGCAAAAAGAGTGAGTTTATGACCTGTTCTTGCTTCGCATAGGAACAAACTTGTCAGAAGGCACTCCAAAGATTCATCGACCCTTGGTTGGTGTCAGGCAAGCCAACGGCAAATTTGTCGTGTCGTGAACCTTTGGTGGTCAAAGGAGACCACTAAAGACTCGGGAGCCTAAGACTTCAATTGAAAACCGATGCCAACACATCACCTCCAACGGACCAAAAGTTGGGATAATGATGCGCATGGTGGTGGATCAGTTTTCAAGGGGATGTATGGAGGAAGGGCAAGTTTCTCGGCAATGGTGAGGCGTCCAATACACTGAACATAACCCAATTTGGGGTATGCTCAACAGGTAAGTACTGCAAAGGAACATGACAATAAGCAAGGATATCCACTTCTCCAAAACGGAGTGCTCTAGCTCTAACAGCAAACGGTTTTGGGGGTGTCCATGCTAATCTGCACCTGGGTGCAATGTCAGGAGCTAAACGATTGCACACACCATTATCTTATGAGCACATATTAGTTTGGCTTTAACGTCTTCTAATCACCTCCCGCTTTTTCAGGAAAACTTTCTTCTAGGACCCCCTGTCAGGTTCCAACCGCCGATTCGAGGATATTCGAGGCTTCTTGGGATGTCGTGTAAGAGCCACCGAGGGAAAACAACGAATGCTGGATTTATGCGCCACCGGGCACTGGAGTCGGGACCATCGACGTGCCCCGGCAGCACGCGTTCCCACAGCGATGATGGGTTCTGCCCATGTTGCGAGCTTGTAGCTATTTACTGGTGGATCGAATTCTGAGTTTAGTGTTTGGGATTGCAGCACACAAAATGCAGAATCGCGTCCCCAACGAGGCACGCACACATGTATATATATATATAGCTCACCTAAAAGGGTAAAGCGAACTCAACGATGAATGCTTGCACATGCGAATTCTTCGTTTCCATATTGGACTTATAAATTATGTTGCAACTCATACCATCTCATACTTATGTGTCATATTTGGTGTGGTGTGTGTTTTTTGTATGTTCAGATATACATGTAGCCAACAATATATATCAGAATTATTTTAGAACCATACCTTCATTGGTGAAGTGAGTGGCATTGTGTCCCACACTTACAGTACAGAGATCACTTGGAGTGCTTTCGTAAGGGGCGTTGCCATCTCAGGCCGAGTCCACAAGCAGAGAATCTGGCAAAGCAGCAAATGGATAGATGATGGGCATGATGTCCGGTTTTGTCCGTAGAATGACCAAAAGCTGCATGGGAGACATGTCGCCATCTGTCTTCATCCAGGAGCCACTAAACTGCGAGTGATTTGGGTGGACCTGTGTGGCAAGGTTTGAAGACCATTGGCAAAGCTGTGTCCTGAAATGATCAGTTGGAATTTGGCTAATGTTGACCCCATATCAATCAACCCCAGCTTACTAATAAGGGGGATCAACCCTAGCTTATGAATAGCGAGGGGGGTCCCTGGGTTTAGTGGGAAATCATCACGAGGGAGCACCCCTATATCTAATACACTGGGGTTGATTGACATGGGGTTAACATTATTTCCTTGCCATTGCTTGTCAGTCTTGCGATAAGAGTCCCACTCTGCAAGGCCTGGTGAGACTTCGCTGACGGCTTCACCTGGTGCATGTGAATGTTACGTGCGAACAAAGCGTGCTGGGCCCGACAGAATCATACTTTTGCTGGAGTCCCAATTTGCAAATGTCATGGCAAGAGGCACTGCTAACCAGGTTCCAATGGTTTTGCATCGCATCTTTGCTTCTTCAAGGTTTGGAGGTTCAGAGAGAGTGTGGCATGCTGGCACACAGGCAAACTGAGACAAGAATAATCAAACACTGAGTGCACCGAAAGCAAGAGAGCGAAAGAGAGCGAGAGAGGAGTAAATAAATTAACCACATTACCCCAGCAACAGACCCCAGTAGCAATAGCAATTTTCCAGCACCTCTGCAAATTTGGACGCATACGCGGGACTGATCATGAAACAACCTTAGCCCCCGTGTTTGCCAAGCTCACTTTGTTTTCGCGCAAATGGACCATCGTAGAATACAAGCAGGCAGAGCATGAGGACATATTTAGACATCAGGACACCTACTACGTCACTGTGACGCGGGGACACCCTTGATCTCGGGAAAACTGGACCCGGACATGTTCCGGGTAAGAAGGCTAGAGTATGCATTAGATTTCTGGAGTTTATTGGGAAAGAATCAGAACAGAGAAGAGAAGAAAGGAACATGCAGAAGCAAGTAAACACAACCACCAAATGGATAACTAGATAGCGGGACTGCAGTCGCGGAAGGTTTGCGGAACGGTTTGCCTCGCGAAGCTTCGAAGATTGATGTGCTAAGGTGAACATTGCAACGACGGTTTCAACCGCTTCAAAAAATCAACCACACTGTGGCCGCAGCAACAGTAGCCAAAACATGCCCCGGAAGCCCGCAGAAGCCGTTGCAACAAAAAGCTGGGAGGAAGGCTTCGAGGAAGCTTGAGTGTCAGCTGAAAAAAGAGAGAGAATAGACAACCAGGCTGATTTTTTTTTAAAAAAAAAAAAAAAAAAAAAAAAAAAAAAACAATACAGAGGGGATAGAGACACTATAGACAGTGAGAATGACAAAGATATTCAGAGAGGTAGACAGAGAGAGAGAGAGAAAGACAGAGAGATTAGAATACTGTGAGAAAGTATGGCTGCCAATATTGTCAGTGGTCATGAGCATGCTTGCAGAGTCGTGCGTGAATTCGGCTCTTGACTGAAGCCAGTCTGCAAGCTGTGCCAAATTCTAGATTGCGGCAAGCAGCTGGCGCCCGGTTGACAGCTGCATGGAATTTTAACTACTCTGTCGCATGTACAACACGTGCGTACACCCGACGTTGGCAGCCTGACCATGTTGAGCAAGTGAATCGTGAACCAAAGGACGGTGTTTGTACGCCGGCTGCGTCAGGGCAAAGTTCCACATTGGACACAACGTCAGATGCCAGTCCCAGGCAGACACTAGTTGTTTGCTACCTGGATCCTGTGTTCTTTGATATTTGCGCGGAACCACACATGTGGAGGCGCCGAAAACAAGCTGACTTGGGAGAATGTGCTCCACTCCCAGGTGCTATGTGGCATCCTAAGGCGCCCCTTTCTCCCCAGTTTGTTGCCCACTAAACATGACTGACGTGACCCCGATGGGCCAGAAGCAAAAGGGCAATCGTGAGCAATGTGTTCTTTTCCTGCAACTAGCTCCAACCTCGGGATAATCAGCTGGGTGGGTCCCAACATGGAAGTTGCATTTTCTTCAAAGTGCGTCCCGGCCTCACGTCTTTCCACCGGGCCTTGTTTGTTTGTTTGTTTTGAGACCAAAAAGGCTGCAGACACCCAATTTTGGTGGCCACAAACTGGGGATCCACAAACGGGTTTCATGTTTGGGGCTGTAGGCCCAGGCCAACGGTAGGTATAATAGGAGACCTCCGGGCATTATTCCTTGGGTTGGTGTGGGGCCGCACCGACAGAGGCATGTGAGCAAGAAGAACCCGCAACAGACACCAGGTGACGCGTTTCAGGGCTAGCCCCTCTTTCACAAATCCCTCGAACGGGACCTCGAACGGCAACCTGGGGCGACTCGGGATTGAGACCGGATCTATCCATTATCCAGACACGGCCAGCCTTGAAGAGGAATTAGAAACAGCCAGCCCCGAAGCATTGTGGCTAGGGGTTGCACCATAACATGCCAGCCCCATTTAAGCTTGAGGGAGCGGAATGTGACACCTGTTTGGTCAGCCCTCAGAGCATACAGCAGGTGAATCACTTGCCACGTTTGGTTTCGTCCACTCGAGCGCCTAAAGCCCGAAACACGGCCATGTTTGTGGATTCAACCACCTGCTGGTTCTCAGCGAATGTGAAGGGCTTTGAGTTTGCCGATGAGCCAAAGGATCCCCTTGAATGAAAAAAGGCCGATTTTTAGGGGTCATTTTCTGGAACCTGCAAGACATTGCCTTAGCTTTCGGGCACTCAATTGAGCAATGCCCAACGCCCGAGAAAAAAAAAACAAAAAAAAAAACACGAGTTTGTCGTAAAATTTCAGTCTCCGGTTTCATGCGGGTCGTAGAAAGGGCCCATGGCTGCAGCAAGGGTGGGTGGCTCTGGTTTCGTGTGGGTGCTAGACATTTTGAAAGGGCCAACATAAACCACGGGCATGTGGTAACCAGCCATTTTCCTTGTCGTTTCAATCGAGTGGTTCTTTTGTTTAGCTAAGAACATGCGATGGCTGTGGTTGTCAAAACCAATGAGATCTCATTTTGGGGTAGGTGCACCACCCATTTTAGTCTATTTTAGTGGGGATTGAATCGGATGTTCACTGGGGGAACGATTTGGGTTTTGACCCATGGCCAGATCACCGGGCCTGGGCGCTTGGAGATTAAACAAGAAAACAGGACACCACGGCGTGAATTCAAAAAAAAGCCGGGACCTTTTCACAGACGAAGCGAGCAAGCGAGTGAGTGAGCGACTGGTGATTCCAAAGAAAAAAACACCCTTTGACGGTGTGATTTCAAAACAAAAAACACCACGGGTGGGCAGATTAAACAAGAAAACTGGACACCACGGCGTGAACAGGCGCGATCTTGACAATGCATCAACGGCAGGCGTCGAAGCTACGCTGGAACAAGCTCCTGGTTCCAGACGTTGGGTGGCTTCCAGCAACTTCGTTTTTCTCAAACAGTGTGCTAACACTAAGGGGTGACTACGGTAAGCGTAAAGGGCCGCTGCTAGATTGAGGTGCTCGCTCTACCGGGACCGTTTTTCGTGGTAGTTACGTACAACCGTGACATCGCACAAAATCTTGAAGTGCATTTCGACTGCGCAGGCTCGCGCAAAAGTTCCCTTGTGAGATGCTCCTGCGCATTTCGACTGCGCAGGCTCGCACTAAGTGGTGGGACGAATTTGGTGTCTTTCGAGGGTGTGATTCGCAAGAAAGCAAAACCGAGAGCGACAAAGCAAGAAATCAAGAAAGAAGGAAAGAAAGAATGAAAGGAAGGAAGGAAGGAAGGAATGGGAGAAAGGGAGAGAGGGAGGAAGGGAGGGACAAGAGAGAAAGAGAGATGTCAAACTACGTGAGTGTTGAGTCATGTATAGTCACGACTTGACTCCACTGCTTCTTTTCCTTCTACAATTTGTCATCACAAGGAAAAGGCTGCGCGTGACAACATACTACAGCACTTGCACCAGCTGTAGGTGTCAGTCAGATTTAGAAAGAAAGAGAGGGAGAGCGAAACCACTTAAGCGCCCACACAGGATTGAAAGCAGTGGCACGGGCGAGTCCTTTAAGTCGCGGGTTTAGCCAGCATTCCACCGCCAAACGCGGTTGCCACCGCGGACGCTGGCCAGGAGGAAGTGCTAGGCGCGCAGCCTGACGCGCCAGCGCTCTCGCAGGCGCGGCGTGGCACTCGTCACCCAGAGTGTGTTGCTCACGGAAACGCAAGCAGAGCAGTGCAGCTGTGCCGAACTGCATGCTGCAATAGTCTTGGCTCCACGCGTGTTCCGCGAAGTTGTGCGTCACAGCTCGCAGCAGCCTTACGCAACCGCTACTGAGCTGAGTGGGGCGGAGCTGCTTTGCAAGCCACGTGCTCAGGTCCTCCAGCATGGCACGCTGGTTCCGGGCAGACTTTTTGGAGGCGGACTGTGGACTAGGTACTTGAGCCCCCGAAGTTAACATTTTTGCGAGGTTTACCGGGATGTGACACAGACCGGACAGTGGCCAATGTGAACGTTGCGTGCGAGGCTGCGCAGGCTTTGGCGAAGCACGCGGTGATCGGCGTGCGAGACTCAGCGCAAGAGCGAATTGCTTCGCGCGCCAAGTCGCCAGGGTGTCGGGCAGGTTGAAAGGACGGGCGTGCCCGTGATGGAGTGCGCGAGGCTAAGGGCGAGGCTAGGGTCATTTGAATGTAGCCTGTGTGGCAGTTCTTGTCTCGGTTGCGACATGTCGCCGGCGCATGGCTGAGGTGGCGTACTGCCTGTCGAGCCAGGTGGAGTATCCTGGGCCGACATGGCCGAGGAGGACTAGTGTGTTTGCTTTGTTCGTGCTGCCGTCTGCGCCGTGGCCAGGCAGGCGTGCATTTGTGCGGGCACAGAGGCCGTTGCGAGGGCCTAGGGCTCGCGAACTCTTGCAGGCGGAGCTGTTTGAGGCGGTGGTTGTCTGGAGTGGCTGAACTTAATCGTAACGTTTCATGACGGTTGAGCCTAGGCGAGCGCTGCATCGAGGGCCGTGGGACAAACGGAGGCTCGGCCAAAACACATGATCTGAGCAGTGGATGTCCAGCTTGCCCGCTTGCCAGGCGATTGGTTCTCGAGGCGGCTCCTGTGTGAGTTCGGCGAGACCATGTCCTTGCGGGCGGACGTTGGCTGGAGCTACTTGGTTTGCAAGGGGCTAGTTGCGCCGAGCTGTTGCTTGCAAAGCTCGCGCTCGTGCTGTCACGGGGCAAACGTGGAGGAGCGGTTGGCAAGCCGTGACTCTGACAAGTTCTGCAAAGGCTGAGCCACAGTGCCGCCGCCTGAGATTGGCACGCTTGAAAAAAGAGAGAAGCTCCATGGCAGAAGCTACATGTGTTCGCAGGGACGTCTACGTCATGGGCAAGCGGCAAGTGTGCAAGCGCGAGGCGCTATGGCTGGACTCGAGGTGGTGTAGCGTGGCAGCAGTC